TATTTATATTCAAAAAATTATAATAGTGACATTACATATAGCAAAGAAATAAGCACATAAGATGATAACATCAACTTCAATCAAACTTATAAAGATTTAGGTTGGAAAATAAAAATAGAAGAAGAAATAGAATTTATTATTAATAATTAAATTTAGACTTTGAAATAATTACCTAAAAAAAATCCATATTTTCTAAATGAATATATAAGCTTAAATATGGAATTAACAACCAACCAAAAAAAAAGAAGACAAGGTTAGATGCTAGAGGCTTTAATTACAAAAAATATATAGATCTTTTAGAGGTTTTTGTCTATGGTAATAAATATTCTACAATCTGAACAACTATAACATGTTAGCATCAACAAATAATTAGAATATCTATTACATAGATGTAAAAATTGTCTATCTAAATTATCTTCTTAAGAAAGAAGTGTATATGACATAACTTAAAGGCTTTATTTCATCATGGAATAAAGAATTATTTTTCAAAATTAAAAAAATTATATATAGACTTAAAAAAACATCAAGAGCATAGTATAAAAGCATTGATAATGTATTAAGAAGCATAAATATGCAAAGGAGAAACCTTAATATTAATATATATTATATATACAAAGAAAGTGATATATTTATTTTTATGCTTTATATTGATAATTTATCTATTAATAGAAATAATAATAGTTTTATTACTTGATTGAAAAATCACCTTCAAAACACCTTTGACATGGTCAATTTTAAAATATTTAATCAATACTTGAAAATTTACTTTAATACAATTATACAAAATATCTTCATTTATTAAATATAATATGTTCAAAGCATCTTGAAAGAATTTGGTATATTGGAGTATAAATCTATAAAAACACTACTATTAAAGGAATTAATATTAACCAACAATATAAATTCTATTCTATGTAATGTTACATTTTTTTTATCAATTAATTAAAAAATTAATATTTTATTATTATTAGACCAAATATTTCGTATATAGTAAGTAGAATGAAGAATTTTATGCCAAGATTAGAAGACATTTATTTAGATATTGCAAAATATATTCTACATTACATTGAGCATATAATGGATTATGGAATATTTTATCAAAAAAAAAGCTTGTACAATAAAATTTTTTTATAAATACAAATTGAGGCTCATATTCAAAAAATAATACTCAATAGATACATATATTTTTATAATAAAAAAAATCTATTAGCTTGCAAAATAAGTGCCAATTAATAATTTTAAGATCTTTAACCAAATTAGAGTACCACGCTTTAAACAACCATGAATAAGAATTAGTTTGACTTCATAAGTTTTGCATTGGATTAAAATATTGAAATATAAGTAATATTCTAATTTCTTGATATGATAAAGAAATCATTATAAAATTAAAAAAATCTAAGACAAATAATATCAATATATTTTATAATATTCATGGTTTCATTAAACTTACACAATATCAATTTTCTATACTTAAACTAAATATATTGAAATCTACCATCATTTTATTTATGAAAGAATATATGGAAGAGAAATGCAATTATATTATATTGATACCAATAATAAATTGATGGATATTTTTACTAAGTCTTAGAGCAAAATTAAATTTAATTTATATTAAAAGCTTTCGATCTTCAAAGATTATCTTCATTGAATGTAGACCAACATATCAACTAGATATAGATTATTACTAGTTTATTATTTTTAATTATTACTATTTTATTTTTTTATTATACATTATTCATAAAAGAGCATAAAGAAATTTTTTATTTTTTTTAAAGTCATTTTTAAGAAAAAAAATAAAGCAATTAGAAGAAAAAAAAATCTATCAATGATTGACTTATCAAATTATTTCAATTTTGTATTATATAAAATTAAAAAAAATCAAAAAAAAATCAAAATGATGCTTGTGAGCTTTAGAGCATGTGATAATGATAATAGATACAAAACTACAAAGACAAAATATGCACCACCAAAGAATACAAGTAAATCAAGTCATTTCAAATTTGTTATTGACAATTATTACTTATATACACCAACCAATAGCAAGCGTGAATAATGCTAATATCAATCCTTAATATTATAGATTATAAATTATAAATAATCATAGATTTTTAACCAATTAATGTTTATACCATCCCTTGTAGACAACTAAACTTTTTAGGACTAATAAACAAACAATATTAATATTGCAACCAAAACTAATATTGCAATTAAGACCAAAACTGCAAGTAGCACCAGCTTGATCCTTCTGCTAGTTGATTAACTTGGGTGCCTTAGATTTTACATATCAAAAGTCCATCTTATGCTTAGACCTTCTTAAGAGGTCAATTTTCATCTTTGTATATTGCTTCTAAAATTTATTGCTGGCGAGGTGAGAAAACTTTGTTAATTTTAATTAATAGCTTTAATTCTTCTCTAAATGACGTTAGATGTGTTGACATAAACATTTGATTTTCTTATTATTGATCACCTTTGGTAGCCTCTTCTCTAATAACTAAATATCAGCAACCAATACTAGTACTAAGTTTAACAATTAGTACTAGCACTAAACTTGGCTTTTGCATAGCTCAAAGTTCAAACACATACTTCTACCATAAGCACTGCAAGTTAGAACAAGAATCATACTTTAGAACCTCATAGAATGAAAAAAGTATAAGCTTGATTAATAGGGCACATTAAAAGTAAGTATGCATATTGCGTTTATTGCAATCACAAACAATTTTTGAAAAAAAAAAAAAAACAACAACAACAACAACAACAATAACAACAAAACAACTCAATTCAAACCATAGAATGGGATTTGGATTCTTCTACAGATTAGCAGTCTCATATCCAATTTCTTCTTGTATCTTAGCAATCCTACACCAAACCATCTCTATTTTAAAGAAGTTTCAACTTAACACCTCACATAATCACTAGCATATGATAACATGTGCAATTTCAATACAACTTAGATAATACAAACAAGACTTGAATTAAATTGAATGATAATTACAAGAGCAATACCTATATACGTACTTTAGACCAAGTCTAAGAAAAGAAGTAGGCAAAATTCATTTATCAAAATTCAATGGAGTTACAATATTTCAATCTATCATATTTTGTAAAATTGGTTTGGAATTTGAATCAATAATTTGAATTAAATGCATTATGTTTATAAATTTAGAAATAGTCACACTAATTTTTTTTTTCAAAATATACTTTTTGTATTGTATTATGTTATTTTTTAGAAATTTACTAAAAAAAGTCATTAAATTTTTTTTAAAAAAATATTTTTAGGATTTATATTTTACATTAATATTAATTTCATTTTTTAGAGTAAAATAATTAAATATAGAGTAGTTTATAAGACATTTATAAAACATTTTTAGTAATATAGTGATGATTTTTGTATATAAGTCATGGTGCATACTTGTAGTGCTGCTCACTTTTTTATGCACTCTAAATTTTTTTAGAAATTTTAAATTTTAGATTGCATAAAAACCTACTACAAAAATAGACTTATACATTTAAAATCTACTTTATACAATTGCATTTCTACTTACAACCAATACTAATGCAAATTTTTAAATTTTTATTTATTTTTCAATAAATAAATCTCTATATTATGAAAAAAAATTGATAAATTATAATCACAATGAGTACTTTATTTATTCAATTTAATCTAAACTTATTAAAAATATTATTATAATTTTAATATATATGTATTTCTTAGATGTCAATTATAGATTATGCTTGTCTTATTTTATTTATATATATGTATATATAGATTACTATTAAAAACATTTATGGACCATAATCATAGATTGTGATTTAATTTTTCAATAGTAAAAAACATATTATTACTGATTTTGTTAAAATTGACTTATTTTCTGGGTTTTAATTATATGTTTTGAATGATTCATACACACACACACACACACACACATATATATATATATATATATACATTAATAAGTATATATATATATATATATATATATATATATAAATCTAATTTAATTATCAAATATTCAACAAAATACTTAATAAGAGAAACTATTTCTACATTGCTCAAATTGAAATAACTTCTCAATTGACTAAAATTTAAGTATGGCTTATTCAATGTGTCCAAGGTTGTTTATGAAAATAGGATGGTTTTTAATGCAATCTAAAAAGATTTTGAACATATTTACAAATATACTTTAGATCTTTTTTTGAATTAAGAATTATGTATAAATAATAAAAATTTACGTTTAAAAAGATCTAGTCTAGGAATAATGTAGCTTACATTTATAATAAAAAGATATAGGTAACTAAAACTTCTATTTAATTTTCATAATCTGAATATCTATATTTTTTAATTTTAATTAAAATTTAATAATAATATATAATCATCATTTATTAATAAAAAATGAACTATAATGTATTTGATAATATTTAAAATAATTATAATGATCATTAATGCAAAATTAAAAATATGTGCTTTTAATTTTATAAAATTTAAGTAAATCTAAATAAATTAATGACACTAGGTTTTCTTATATAACAAACAGTATAATAAAAAATAGTAGCCCATGATATCAGAAATAATATCAATATAAAATGTAGAATTTATATGAAAAATAAATATCTATCATAAAACATATACTACAAAATATAAAACAATATATGGTTGCAATCCATCAAAGAAGAAGTTAAGTATAACAAAACTATTACAAATTCTAATTTAAAAAAATCAAATTAAAATAAAAGTATATTATTAAATTTCAAATAAAAACTAAATAATATGTATTGCTACTTTTTTAGCCAACTTTCATGGCTGTTTATCCCCCTTTGCTATGTTGCATTTCAAATCTTTTTTTTATAATGTTGTTAAACTCTAAGCACACACCAATTATCCAATTTAAAAATATTGTTTGGTATTAAATTTTGTTTTAGTGATGGATGACTAAGCGTAGAGTTCCATATTATTCTTTCTCTTCTAATCGGCAGGTTTGCTTGAATTTCAGACGGCTCTGGAACGTTAACAGTAAAATTGTTGCATGTGAGTCGTAATTGCTGCTGCAAACGACTCACGTGCAATAATAATCTCTTTATGTTCCAAGCAGTACTTTGCACTATTTTGATGCGACCCCTGTTGCATTCCCTGTGTTGATGCCGGGTTATTTCGCATATTCCTGGGTGTTTCGTACAGATTCATGGGGTGCAGTATTTAGCGATGTGTGTCAATCGACGAAGCGACAGTTATGAAACACAAGCGCTCTACCTTCTGTTTCTACGGTAGTTTTTCGAGAATGCTTTGAACTCAGTGATGCTGGCTTAAGTACATTGGTTTCAATCTTGTAAGCAAGTTTATTCCGCTCCTAAAACAAATCGTGGCACAATTGTCCCCAACCAGGAATGAGGAGATGAGGGATTCTCAATTATGGACGCCTAACGAAGCGTCTAAAAGCAGTTGCGCTTGTCAGGAATCTTCTTTACGACAGAAGTTTTAGGAGCTGAAGGCCTCAACTTGAATTTCTCTTTCTCCTAACATTCTGTTGATGTTATTCTGAACTCCAATCTGATCGCCTGTAAAACGAGTGATTATATCCATTCAAGCAACTTCGTCTTGCTGAGAGAAATTTAGGTTTTGAAACAAAATATAAGATTGATTGGAGGTAGTTGATAATAGCCCTAGATGGTAACGAAACCATGAGAACGAAGGTAACGATCAATGGTACGACGGATCAAACAGGTCGATTGGGGAGATGCACAGGCTGAAGAATTAGCTGAGGCCATTGACCTGAATTGATAGAAGCAACCCAGACTTCGGCGAAACACGAAAACCAGTGTTTCTTTTCCATGCAGCACCCACAAATCATGGGCATGAGACCCCAAATTCCACAAAGAGTTACGGAGGAAATAGCGATGGACGTCGACACCCAGCAATGGCGTGCCGTTCAAAGTCATACTAGACATACCAAGCGGGAGAAGAAATCATGGCTGTACATTGACGTGAACGGTAACCATCAGGTCACTACCTACTTGGCTCAAAGGTTTTATGATTTACAATGTTTCATCATTGTGATGACATCTGTAATTCATGGAGGGTGGTGGTGGTGATGCTGCATCAGGATTTAGAGGTCGGAAAACAAGCGATTATGAGGCGGGCCCACCTTCCAGCGCGCGACCTACGCTTGTTGGACCCACTGCTGTCCTATCCTTCGTCAATTCTGGGTCGAGAACATGCCATCGTTGTCAACCTTGAGCACATTAAAATGATTATAACTGCTCAAGAAGTGTTCCTCCTGGATGCGCAGAACCCAATTGTTGCCCCCTTCGTGCAAAACCTACGGCGCCGACTACCTGCCTCAAACTCCACCACCCAGGTTGGACCGACCCCTTGCTGAAACTCTAAATTGCAACAAACTAACTCTCTGTGTAGCTTGAAGTTTGACAAAATGGATTATTGACATGCTCAAGGTCATCTAATGAAGTTAATTTAAGGCAAAAAGAACTAACTATGTCGACCTACTACCCGATGCTAGAATGTTCCGCCTGATAGATGCAATCACGCCGGCTCTGGATGCGAGGACCATACTAATGATCGAGAACGCCGCGAAGGACGTCACTGCACGAACACACCCACTGAGCAGGCGCTGCCGTTTGAGTTTCAAGCGCTAGAAGTGTGTCTGGAAGCTGCATGTCAACGTCTTGATTCCGAGGTTTCACGTTTCATCTCTTCTCTCCTAGAGACCACAGTTGCTGTAATCAACCATTGGCATCAACATGCTCGAATCTAAAACATGTTGGAACGACAAAAAAATAAAAGAACAATGTATCCGATGCTCTTATTCTCTGCCGTGCCTTGCAATTGGATCTCTACTCCCTGCTCAAATTGAGCTGCTGGTTTGTTGGGGCGCTCTAGTTACCAGTGGTTTTGGTGCTTTGAGTAGGCAGGTGATTTGTCGAAAGCCGCGCACCACGCACTTGATGCCCTGACCTCGCGAGTCAGCATCAAGCACCTAGAGAATGTTCGCCAAGTCAAGAATAAGCTAGTACTTATCACTGGCCGAGCGCAACGAGTGCGGGAACTCAACCATATTGATCACTAAAACTCATTACCATAGGTTTGGATTGGATAGTCCACTCTGGTTGCAGAACAATTACATGACTTCACTCTATGGAATCGTATTCGCAGGTGAGAGCCGAAATTGAGCAGCTACTGGATGACGATGGAGACATGACCGAAATGTACTTGAGCACCAAGCTGGTTAAGCAGCAGCTGGAGGTATCGATGCGCTCGGATACCACCGAACAAACACCTGCGATCCAATCGGCAGATAGTGGAGTCCATGGGCGAAACCACGGAGTCGTGCACTCCACCAGCGAAGGCAGTTGCCTCATGGTCACTGTCGAGGACCCCATAAAGTATGTTCACGACTCGAACCTGAGGGATCTGGTCCCGACAAGATCCTCCTCCAGAACCAAGCGGCATGCGGCGAAGGATCACTCAAGCTCATCGAGGTCCTCCCTCGCCATTCCTTGCATTGTTCTGCTCAACTCCAGACAACCCACTTCCCATACTGGCAAGTATCATAATCTTCAAAGCTGTGTCACTCGCATGCTCAGGAACTCACGGAAGCTTCCGAAAACTTACTGGTTGAGATGCTCCGAACCTGACCCTCAAATAGTGAATCGTGTGTGCAGAGAAGAGGAGCACCCCAAACAGAGAAACAGCCCCAGGAATCAATCACCGTTGCGTCGTTCCAACCTGCATCACAACATGGCATCGTCAGCAAAACAATTTCGGTTGCTTTCGCATCCCACTTGCCAAGATCAAGCCAGCCTCATTTACTTGTTTGTTTCTTCGTCTTGGTGAACAACAATCACCATCATAGTCGTTCTTTTCCACTGTTCGCGGCAGGCCAGAGAATGAAAACTTGCTAAGTTTGTCACAAGCTTGCGGGAACTGATAAAGAAACATGGGAATCATCAAAATGGTTACAGGGAGCATCTGAAACTGGGCCACGTTTCGTTCGACGCAGAACAAGTCCACAACAACACCTCTCTGCTAAGCAGCACCAGCAGCATGTCTCGCACGATGGGATCGGCAATCCACAGCAAACGACAACACGTGGAGGAACTGGAGATGCTCTTGGAGGCATATTTTGTGCTCATTGATGGAATAATTCGCCGTGTTGCATTGGTAATCCGACCTCCTTCAGTTTATTTGTCTATTAACATGGTACACAAGAAACATGATGTTTTTAAATAGGAATATATAACAATGTTGATCGTTAACGTGAAGGATGTGAAGTATATTGGACGACAAGTGTCTATGTTAATGGAAAGGAGATTGCATCCATGAGTGTAGGTGCAGGAATATATTGATGACACCGAGGATTTTGTGAAGATCACGCTTGCCGATCATCAAAACACCTTATTGAAAGTAAACATTGTACTCATCATTTCCTGCCTGGGGATAAGCATGTTCATTGCTGTCACAGGAATCTTTGGTATGAACATAGATATACCTCTTTTCAACGTTCCTTCGTATGGGTATTTCTGGTCTGTGGTGGGCATGTCCTCAGGAGCTACTGTGATTCTGTCGGCAACGATCATTGGCTGGTGTAAATATACAGATCTCATTTGAGTACGAAGAAAGAATGGATTGTGAATTCTTCATAATTGTTTATCTTTTGTAGCGGTAATAATTGCGACGTCGTGAAAAGAAGTTAACGAATTTTATCTAATGTGAACTTTACCAAAAGCTTTCGTATTTCCTACTATTAGAACATAAGAAAGGAGCCAAGAATGAGAGAGGCTATGGTGTGATATTTTGCTTGCAAAAGCAATTCAATTTAGACTCTGGGAAGAACGGAACTGCAATGGAACATGTTAGAGCCTCTTGCCTGATAGACGTATGAGCTCTCTCGTTGGAACCTACTCGATATGTGCACGCCTTTTCATCAGCATGCAACCGAAATCAACAGGGCACCTCAAACCTCGACCTCATACTTGTTCTAGTGCTTCACCTACATCTTGATACCATCACCCACACCAATCGGGAAGTAGCACACCATTAATGAAAAGCGTCCTGGATTTCGGTAGGTTTACCAAATATCACGGAGCTTGTGTGCCAGACCCAACCAACCGGAATGTTACTAAAAACCTTGTAACTTGTTCAATACAACTACAAAAATCTACAATTTAAATTCCACTGAATTCAGACTTCAACTCCCAATCACTTGTAAAGCGACATTATCAACCATAGGTGACCTTCAGCGACCTCAAGACAGTATGACTAGACGCAATTCTGAGACAGATCGGTAAGTCCACATTAAGACCACCTTTGCGGAAGCCGGAATTCAGTAAGGCGTTCCAACATTAACACAAAATTCTGTATGATAGTCTACAATCTTGTAAAACTCTGATGCGTGTTCACAGAGACAATTTTGAACTGAAACAAAAATAGTACCAAAATTAATCACCATTCTCTGGAATACAGCCATCTTTCTAAGGCTGGATTCTAAGCTGTAAATTTGGACTATCTACAAAGGATCGCTGTAAGATTCGCTGTAAGATTCACCTTTTCGAATCTTACAAACTACAAAGGAAAACATCGGTATAAGAACACTGATGAAGGGGTGTGAGCCCTCTTAAGCAGCCTGACTCTCGTTACTCTCAATGTATGGGGCAAAGAGGATGGAAGAGTTTTGACCACCAAATCAGAAAGAGTAGGACAATGCAACCTTGATATCCAGCTTCTCTTTCTCTCCTACAATCACCTTTATATGCTGGAATATCTAGCTGAAGTTCTTAAGTAATTTCAAAGTCGGCCAAAAAGCATTACCGAATTCCCAATTAGTATCAGCACAAGATAATGACCTGGAAACTTAGCCCTTCACATTTCACTAAGGAGGACAGAAATGTACGGAGTTGTAACTGTTGCGCACATCCGGACATGGGTCGTTCAAGGAAAAATAATTGTCGCACACATTAAAGAATATTAGGAAGCAAGGAACTCGCAGCTTCACCCCTGATCATATGATTAGCAGCATTTAATATACAAAAGTTGCTTGTCGCACAAGCTGTGGAAATAGAGTAGTTGGGTCCCATCCATCCCTGCAATGATACCAGTTTGCTTCATTGGTAACAAAGAACCCTCGGCACAAGCCCTAACACACACAAAAGCGATGTCCAACGTAGAGGTTCACAACTGACATTAGAAACAATTCCTTGCTTATTCTCCTTTCATTCCTACATAAAATACATGAAACTAAATGAAGAGCCGAGCCAACACTGGCTCCACTATGTTATGCTGGGTGCGAAGCACAAATGTAAGTAAACAATGATAGAAAGTTGCAATTAAGTGTGGACCTACTCAACCTAGTCTCGTCAACATCAACATTTATAGTTCGTTCAAAAGAGTCTCATGTCTAAGATGCAAAGATGTGATGGACTATCTGCTTCATTCCTTCCAAGAGTCATCGTAACTGTGAGGTACCTGCTACAACAATATCCAATTACAACATGTACATCAATATGAAATATAAAACAGGCCCTCATACTGTGCGAGGTCGGAGAGCAGAACTTCACTCACCAAGTCCATAGCCAGCACAGCAGAGCCCATGTTTGTCGTTGCAAATGGTACACAAAATGGGTCCATCTTGCAATAAGATATTCTTAAGGCCTCGATAGCATCACTAAAAATCTGCGTCCACAATTGTTGATGTTATGATCACAAAGAGCTCACAGGCTAAATGGAACTACCTGCCATGGCACCCCATGCGATGCCTACAACTATTTGAGCAGTGATTTTCATGAAGACCTATACTCCGATTCGAGGAGAGTACTCCGAACAAAGCTACAGCAGGTCCTTGCAAGTATTACACTAGTTTTGAAACCAAGAATATCATCCAAATATGAGGAGGTACATGATATAGATAAGAAACTCAACGTACTGAAAGAGACCATGGATTTCATAACTAATTTGCACTGTCACCTAATTTCAACTAACAAGATCTCTGGAAAGATAACTCGACTGCAAGTCTTGTGAGAATACCTGCATGCCTCCCATAGCTGATCCGACAAGTACACCACATCTTGACTTATCTAAATTCTTCATTACATCCTCTGTAAGTCCAGCATCGAACGCAGCTTTCTTCCCGGCAGTTAACACATTAAGCATAAACTTATCCATCCGCTTTGGAAACTTTCCAGCAACCCAACCATGTGGTGAAATGACTTAACTTCGCCTGCAATCCTCTGTCACAAAATAGTAGAGTTGAGGATAAAAATAATGGTTTGAATATTATTGGTGGAAAAAACGATAATGCACTGCTGGCAAGAGTCTGCGAAGTCCTCTTAAAACTTCTTACGTAGACTTTATGACATAGTGAGGTTTGCACGCTTCATCATAGTCTGTCACAGAATGATTATCCTAAGTTACAAGCAAATGTATGCAATAAACTACAAAAATTACAGCCTAGGAAATAAAAAAACCTCCACAACAAAGTCAAACCACCTTGACATCTTGGAGACTGACCTAACTCAAAGAGCGATAAGCAACTTCACTACAAAAGTAAAATCAATCAATCTCATTCACAGCTAGCCTCCAGATTCCGCTAGCTATGGCAAGCAGGTTAAGCACTCACAACTAAGTGAATAATCCAGATTAATGACCACAAATTCAATCATGAATAAAATATGTTATTTAAAATTACTGTGGGAAATTGCTTGCACTCGAAGTTTTCTATCTCAGAAACCCCACTCTTTCCTTCCAGGAGATTCGCGTAGAAGGTGTCACCGTCGTGACCAAGACTGGAGACTAAACCCATCCCAGTAACAACCACCCTCCTAGGCTTAGTGGACCTTTTCTTCGAATGGAAGGATTCTTTGACGGGTTGAACAGGCGTTGTTTGCAACAACTAAGGCCTTCCTTATACATCAAGTGAGTAAGTTACAAACAGAATTAAGAACCTGGCCATAGAACAGAAGTGGCTGAACTCTCAGATGAGTGAAACTTATTTCAGAATTATTACATTTTCAAGTACATTTTCTATTAATCTTCGTTTCTTACTTTCTATCACGAATTTCCCACACCAATGTTTTACAAAAAAAATCTATAGTGCGAAGGATGCTTTCATTTACTGGTATGGCTGTTCAGAGGTAAAAATCTTCCTCGTTTCCATGATACACTAAGCAGCTCAAGGAGAATTAGAGCTTCACAGCTCCTAGATACTCATAAGTAGCATGTTCATCAAACAAGTGTTGCTCAGAACTTTTAAATACTAAAGCACAAAGAATACAACACAGTCGGGGAGAATTTTTCACCTGATGTAGCTTTCAAGGGCCTCTTCACAGAACATCATCTGCGAACCCGGCAACTGGACACGTATGCTGCGAAAAACCAGGTACAAAAGGGCGAGGCCGCACCTATCGCCATTGTTCAGGAACAACTCTCAAGGAATCAATTTCTGCACAAGAATAATTTACCTCAATCCAGTTAGAATGAAGCAATACTGAAATCAAAACTGCAATGAGGGATATCCAGCCAAAATAGGAAAGCGACATGAAATTGCAATCAATTTAGCAGCAAAGCATACTTCAGACAAATGAAGAGTTAACCTTCGGTACTGGCAGTGAGCAGAATTTCCAGATGAAACTGGAACAATGATATCAGACACTCAGGCAAGGAGGAGGAGTCGGGTGTGTGGTGCTCGGGAATCATGAAGCATAAGTATGAACATCCTCTTCAAGTACTACTAGATAGAGAAAGTGGACGAAACCACTTCCAAAATTGTCGAATAGAGAACTCCGGCATAATTCATGAGAAAGCACACTGTTGCTACATCTACCATGGGCTAAAATTCCAGCTCCACCTGAAAATCATCTGAGATCGCTTTCAGCGACACAAGAGCAAGATATGTGCACTGAAGTGAAGTGCTCCATAATTACTAAATCTCCAACCAGTAGCAACAGGAGCCTCTACCCGCTTCTAAAAAATTGCGCTTGGACTGAATGAAGCACTTTTTTCCTTTGCAGAAAATCGAGGAGATACCGAAGCTACAGAATCCAGTAGGGAATACGCACATAAACAACGAGATTTCTTAGGTGACGATGGAAGTTTGATATGAAACCATTGTTTTCGCGACTAAAGCCAGCTCTGCATGAAGAGAATCGCAAATTCTAGGGCAAAATGTAACTACCACGACCAAAAGCCATATTTAATGAGAGAAAAATACTAAGCATGTAATAAAATGAAAATGGAGAATAGGCTCGCAACAACCCGAGCCTAAAATAAATGAAATAAAAAATAAATAAAAAATAGTCGCTACAAAAATGGCACTACATTGTCTTTCAGCCTCCAAAATACGAAACTCCAGCGGAGCACGCGTGCATTGTGCTCATTCTCCCTCGCCAAGACGTAAACGAAATCAGAAAACACAAAACTAAACGCAACTACTAATTCAAAACGTTTGGCAAATGTTTCCAGTCACGAGTGAACTACCTCGGAAACGCGCCACACAATCTCGCCTTGAAAAGAGACAGCAACAGACCCAATCTACGACCGCTCCACTTGCATCCGCGACGACAGTGCATCAATAGGACGGCGAATCGCTCTGTCCTGTAGAATGCAACACTGCAGCCTCGTCACTACGTGCCGCAGATACCTCCAGTCGAGGCATCTCAGCCGTTATATCTCAAGATTAAATCCTGACCTTTAAAAAATCTCCCACACTCCCACGCGGGCAGGGGAGCGAGGAGGGAGGTCGCTTCCAAGTCTACAAGGCGCTTGTAGAAAATGTTTTATGATTTGCAAAATAATTCAAAACAAAATAAACTTATCTAATATCTTATACCAAAATAATATTTTAAAGAGAAACTTAATCAAATCAGTTTTCTTAATTTTTTTTATTAAAATGTGATAATAAAATTTTACAATCTTTTCAATAGAGTGAGTAAATTTAAGATTTATCACAAAAATGAGATAAATTAAAATTTGGCCAGTCTATATTTTATTTCTTGTAAAAAGGAAATAATCAATGATGAATTCTTACTTATAAAATATATTTTTTTGAGAAAAAATTATGAGATTTTTTTTTTGAGTTGTAAAAATTCTTCCTGGAAACAAAAGTGTCACATACATTGAATGCTGTTGTGTCTGACAACAAAAAAATATCCTTTGAAGCAAGAGTTATGGTTGAAAATTGGGAATAAGTTGGGAGGTTTTTGGGACAAAATCCTGTGAGGAGCCTCAATTCCTCCCAATTTCTATACAAAAGGTTCAATCTGGACAGGTTTTGTTTCAATTCCCATACAAAAGTTTATAAGCCAATAGAATTAATTGCCTTTGCGAATTTATTGGCTCACTCATTGTAAACATTGTGAAGCTAAAAAATTATATTTTTCGTCTATATTTATTTTCTATAATGGACTTCTATACACTGTCGAATTCTAGCAGAGGAAGAAAGCAGGGATTTGGTGAAGTTTGAATCAAAAAACTATTCCTAGGTGGTCCAGATGGGAATGACCTAACATAGCAGAGCATAATTTTTTTTTTTTTTTTTTTTTTTTTTTTTAATGCATTATAGATGTGTTAGGGAGGCTTATCAGTAAAGTGCTTTGAGGCGTTGCACTCAGCAATGAGAATTTGTTTCCTTGCTGAGTTAGCTAGTTTCCTTCCACAAAGCATAGATCAAATCAAAAAATTTAAAAAAGAAAAAGAAAAAAAAAAGGTTTGTTTGGAGGTTTATTGCAAATCAATTCTTATGTATTTTTCAGTATATATATATATATATATATATACATACATACACACACATTCGAAATATATATTTTTTAAATATTTTAATCTAATCAAAATTTGTACCTGAATATCTTGTCATTCTATTGTTTCTAAATAGTCTAAAATAAAGTAATGCTAATTGGTGGCTATACAACTTTCATACCTTTGATAAGATTGAGGATTTTTTCCAAAATAATTATGGGAAGTGTAATCCCAATTGTAGTTCAATTTGTATTTCTTATTAGCTTAAGTATTGCATAATGATTGCACCTTATATTTTTGAATATCTAGGTCTAAAATCTATTTAAGATTGCTAATATATTAAAAAAAAAAAAAAAAAAAAAAAAAAACACTAATATCACTAATTTTGAAATTAATATTTTTTTTATAAATAAATCAAAATATTTTGTCTTAAAACAAATGTATATATATATATATATATATATATATATAATAATGAAGAATAATTTTATTTTTCATAAAAAGTCATTAGAATCAAACATTGATTCTCGTAATCAATAAAAGATAATCGTGCATATAATTTAAGAGCCTTGCTATGCTAATACTCTACATAAATATATGATTTGTAATAAAATTTATACTAGTTAATCTCTAGACTCATCTAATATACTCTCTTTAGAATCTTTTTAAAATATGAGTTTTTTCTTGGAAAATATGTATTTTATATTAAATTATATTTTATTGGAAAAAAATCATCATCTTTATCTCATGTCATACTTTATAAGATATGAAATAAGAATAAATATCAATCCAAGTTATTGATTTAGAATCAACTTTTGTGATCTTTTATTTTAAACTCCAAAAATATTTCTTATAGAATTTCAATCCATTTATTTGGTACTTGAAAAAAAATACACTTTCATAAAAGAATTTTTATAGAGATCAAGTTAAACTTAGTTATTGTTTGTGTTCATTGCTTTTGATCATTTGACTAAGTAAACTACGAATATTTAATTTTGTATTTACTAATATTATATAGCTAAAGTGTAGTTGATTTTGATACTATGTTGGCTATTAGATTTATATATCTTGAATTTTATTACATTAAATCTTAATTAGAAAAGAAATTGTCATACATACTGTGATTAAGGACTCTGCATAATAGCTTATAAGCTACGCACATCTTTGACTAAATCTTAGATTATATAGAATATATTGAAGTATGTTTTTTCATCTAATATATATTAGATTCCACCTATTGTCAAGGACATAAACTATGAAGTTGTAGAAGATTCTAAAAGGTTCTAGAGAAGCTTTGTAGTTTGTAGAAACTACTTGAGAAGTTTTCAAGCTCCTGGAAGCTGCTTGAGAAGCTTCCTAGTTTGTGGAAGCTACTTGAGAAGCTTCCTAACTTGTAGTATATATAGGAGTCGAGACTGAGGGGATCCTCAGTCTCGACAATACATCTCTTGGAGCTCTAGCTCACCTCTCTAGTACTATTTTTGTACTCATTTGATTAATCTAGTTCTTGCCAATTCTTCTTGAGCTTCTTCTTTAGATTTCCAGTCAGTATTCTAAATTCGTGACACTTTGTTCAGATTGTACTCGTCTTTCATATCAGAGCTAGTTCTTTCTTGTTAGAGTGTGGATTATCCCTCTACTTGAAGGTGCTGGCATTTTAGAGGTTGCGGATTACCCTCCTCTAAACTCATATTTCTTCTATTATAATATTGGAGTCTTATCTTTCTTGGAGAGAGTAGATTATTCCTCTTCTTGAAGGTTTTAAGGCATTTTAGAGGTTGCAAAGTACCCTCCTCTAAACCAATACTGCCTTCTTGTAGAGTCATTTCTTTCCTTCTCTTAGAATAGCTGGACGTCAAGATATTAGTATGACTGAAAGTTTGGAGTCCAAATTGGATGTCATTATGAATGCTCTTGCTACGTTATCACGAAGAACTGTAGAGATTGAAGGAATCATTGTAAGACTTCATAATGATGGAGCATCTAGAATGGCATAATCGAGGATTCACCAACTTCAAGCTTCAACACCAAGAGAAGCAACTTTTCCTCTAGTTCAACAACGACCGT